ATAGATTGTAGTGTACTAATTGGATGTCTAGAATTTACTTACTTTTTTATTTTTACTTTTTTATTGTAATTCTCCCACTGAGCCTGATTCTACTGAAGGTTTCTTCCGGTTGAAAATGTGTTTTTTTTTCTCCATTATCGCTGCATGCATACTTCATGTCAGGGATTCCTACAGAGTTAACAAGCAAATGTCTACTATCACAACATTCTCATCCAGGAGAACAGAATTTTGCAAAGTCAGACTCCAATGAATTTTAATACTGATTGACTTGTCTTTGAAAAGTACCCTCTGATGACATGTGTTGTAAATTGCCACAATAAGAATGAACTACATTTAATTAAATTAATCTTTTGAATAGATTATTAGGTGGGGTTGCCTGGTAATGCACTAAACCAATGACTGCATCGTGTCATATGGTAATTATTCTGTAGGTAAGAAAAAATCTTTGTGGGATTTCCAATGGGTCCATTCTGTTGGGATCTGGAGATTCTCCACCTTCTCCAGCAGAGTGCGCTATGGATCCTCCTGGGCTGGAGCCCTCACAGCTGATGTTCATCAGCTCATCAGGAGACCGGCCTTTATAAGCAGCTGCCAGACCTTCCTTCGACGCCGCAGTGTTAGCCAAATTTGGTTAGCGAACCTGAGCCTCTGAATTTACTAAATACGTTATCTTCTTTAAGAAACCTAATTCTAATTGCCTTTGTCTTCTCGCTCCTAGGAAAGTCTCTCGAGAGAAGCTCTGGATGAGCTTAACCTGAAACCTGCCTGCCTGCCCCAGAGAGCCAAACCTGAAGTCCTCACTTAGGAATCCACCAGCTGCTCTTAGGAAAGAGCTAATCACTCCAACCAAGGTCTGTTCACTGGAAGTCAGAAGCTAGACGCTGCAGCTGCTCAAGCACTCTGCTGAACCAACAGTCTCTGGACCCAACCGGTTCCCTCTCTCAGAGCTAGCCTGGACCTCTTCAAGGTATCCACTGAAATATCTGATAACCCATTTAACTCATCTGCAACCAAGCTAATCAACTATCCGTCTCTGCAGATGCCAGAGAATCCCGCCTGGACCAGAACCAGAATCTTGTTCTTGACATTTGTGTGAAACTTAAATAAACTCTGTTAAATCTTTCACCAAGTCTCCAGTGGTGTTCTGCATGTGGGTTTATCTCTAAACCGATCATGGCACATTCTAAGGTGATTTTTATTCAACATCCATATGATCTCTCTGGTTTAGGTTATATTGCACTACAATATCTCTTATTGCATACATGCTGATAACACTTTTTATGACCATAGAGCACTACAATCACTAAGTCGGTGTATGCAGGACTTCATGAGAGGATGGCCAAGCAATTCCTACAGCTTCATGTTAATAATGCAGTTTTTTATTAAAGGAGCTTATTGAACAGATACATTTGTTAGAGCTGAAGATCACGGAACATTTAATAAACTTAGATGAGTTGTTGGACTTGGGTCAATTTAACTTAGGACTATGCCTAAAAGCTTAGTTACTTAGTAAGTTGGATACCCCCTGCATCTTTAACATTTTGGTAGAATAAAGTGTTTCCTCTCAAAAAAAGACCAAAAATAAAGTGTTAACATGAAAGATATTTTGAATCTCTTAGTCTGCAAAAAGGGTGCTATTAAGAAATCTACCTTGCCTTGCTGATGCACAATTTGAACTTTAATTTAAAGAATGTATTCCTTCTCATTTTATCTTTGGATTTTTGAGAAACAGCACTTGCTTAGTGTGTTATTAGCAGCACAAACCCCTTTTATTCCCATTTATTCCCTGCTGTGACTGATGTTGTGGAAACCTTTTGATTAATTTCCATTTTATCTTAATTTAACTGAATCTCACACAGTAGGCTTATGGTTAAGAAAAAGAGAAGTCAGCAATTAACAAAAAGTTCACAAGGGCCATACTTTGCTATGATATTGTAAACATAAGCTGCAGGCTTCTTAAAATTGTTTTTATTTTAGCCTCACCATTCATTTTTTTTCTTCCCATTTCCATGTATCCTGCCACTTTTCATAGAAATGTTTCTTTACCAACCATCTTAGCATTGACCTATAAAGACTAAACACAAACAAAAGAATGAGTTGAACTAAATTGGGTTCGCATTGTTGACTCTACACACAACAAACAACCTAACAAATAACAATGTGATGCAGTTATGTTATGCCTTTTACTATCATCATGTTGCAAAACCATACAGGTTGTCATATTTTAAGTTCAATATGCAAAAACGGAAGGAAGCATTGTTGCTGCACTTTTAGGTTAAACCTAGTCACATCTCTTTATTGGGTGTGATGTAGGGGTGGGTATTGGCAAAGAAGTCACGATTCGATTCGAATCACGATTCACATGGACGATGCGATTCTATCACGATGCATCATGATACTTGAAATATTGCGATGCATTGAGATATTTTCACTTGAAATGTGATGGAGCCGCGGGGCGAATTCTCATAATGTCCTCCATGTTTTATTTCATATCACTCGTCGCAGTATCCCACGGCCGGAAATGCTTGTGACACAAGCAGTGATGGGACTAACGGCATTGAAAGTAACGGTGTTACTAACGCCGTTACCTTGTTTTAGTAACGAGTAATCTAACTAATTACTTTGACTGTAACTATAACACAGTTACCATTGCAGACACCCCGTTACTGCGCGTTACTCAGGTCGCACAATGAACCTTTTTTCATGATAGGACTCGTGCGCAGCTGCGTGAACCTGACACCCCACCCACGTCAAAAAACTCTGCAAATAGACTGAATGGTTAGTGCAACGTTAGTGCAGATTTGTGCAGAAAAAAATATAGTTTGTGCTACTTTTGTATAAGAGATATTAAAGATTATTTTTTTAGGTCATCCAGAGGTGCGCGCCTTGTCATGAGAGAGGGAGGATGAGAATGGCTGATGTATAGTGAGATTCCGTCTGTCAGTTGGGTAGGTGGGTGTTTCTGCTGGCGGGTGTTAACGTACAGCACACACAGAGAGATGGAGAGTGAGGATGACTCCAGCAGCAAAACAGCGTTTTCCTGATGGAAATACCGGTGTTACGTCGAGCTGCGTTTCCCCATCAGATACGGTTTCCCCTGCATCTCCGCACAGCGCAGGCGGCACAAGTCACCGCGCAAGCGACAGGAAACGCGCATGCTCTCTAAAGGCGTGCAACAGTCGCCCTGTGCTCGCGCCACAGGAGAACTATGGAGAGCATGAACGATCAAATGATTAACCTGACAACAGCCAGAAATGATAGCCTAAATGGAGAAAGGGAGAAATCTGGATGGATGGATGGATGGATGGATGGATAGATACTCTGCCTTCTCAACCTACTGTATTTTTTATTTTAAACATTATTTAATGGCCTTTTTGGCAGGGATGGAGATCCATATTTTATGTCACACACAGAGTATACATCTAGATAGATAGATGATAGATAGATGTTGCAGTATCTATAACAACCCAAGCGGGCGTCAGCACATCCGCAGCGACATCGGCTGGACTGGAAGTTGTATTCCACTTGGTTTAGCTGATGTGCGCCAATGTATTTTATTTGTTCATTTATTTTTTTATAATAATCGATTCTTGCCTTCAAGAATCGATGCAGAAGATCACAAAAATTAGAATCGCGATGCATCGTCATGACGACTATTTTGCACACCCTTAGTGTGATGCATCTTTTACAAAAGGTTAACAAAAAGTAAAGAAAAACCAGAGTCGGATTTATGGAATTCAAGACATAATTTTGATGGTGTATTGTGTCACATAATTTTGGTAATGTAGTAAAAATTTGGGTGTTCCCTAGAAATATATTTGCTTTTCACACATACAATTACATTAATACCCAAAGAGACATGTAATTACTGCATGTGTGTTATTAGTTATGGCTGTTGTCTGTTTGAAAGAAAGTACATGAAAAAGTAGCCATTAATATCTACAACATTTCTTATAAAAAAACAAAAACACAAACAGACTAATTAATAAATCTTACCAACAAATCTTTCCCTAAACATACTTGGAACTGCTAAAATGTGTTTTGAGCCAATTCATTAGATGTCAAAATAGAGAGTGGATATGCTAGTTAGTCGGGCACACAGCTCTGCATGAAAACATTGTAAGCAGGGCCAATCTGGAAGTTTGTTATTTATAAGTGTGGTCTAATGTTAAATATTTTTAGAAAAAAATAAAAATATCATAGGTAATTTGTATTAAGCACATTAGTGTGGCAAAAAAAGGTTAGGGCAAAATAGGTCCAAAGAAAAGAAGGAATAACTTGAAAAACTAACACAATGAGGATGCATGATCATTTACCTGATTTATCTACTTATGCCAGATCTTCTGCTAACAGCACTTTATTTTCCTTGTTAGCATAAATAAAGATTATTTGTGACCTTCTAACTATCTAACTCTGCATTTCAGTCCTTCTCTGACGACTCACAACAGCATCAACAGACATATGTGTCTTGTAAATGTATCCAGCCAGGAAATCAGGATTTACCCAAAACAAAAACTTGTAGTGTGGGTAGCTACACTTCATTCATTTTTAAATAAACATTATCAAAGGCAAAACCTTTAACTAGCAACAATGGGAATGAGGGCTGCAGTGAGCACAGGAAAACATTTGAAACACTTTTGTAGATTTTAGTTTCACACCCCATTTAAGTAAAAGGGATGGAGACATTTTGATTTATAATTAAAGTGCAGTGGGCAGAGTAGAAAATGCAAAATTCTAAGTCAAATTTTAATTATCACTGAACTAATTGTCTTAATGTCGTTTTAAACTTTAACTGAATACAGTTATCATTTGTGAATTACGGCATTAAAATCTTGGCAATTCCTTCACCTTCACTCCACTTACAATTAAAGTATTTGTCCACTCATCCATTAACTATTAATGTTGGTTCTCTATCTTTTAATCTGTAATCAATTAATTATTATTAGTGTTTGATACCCCCCTTTATTTTTTTATTTGTTTCCCCACATTTCTCTTCATACCTGTGGCTTCAACCATGCCCTCAAGGATAACGACGATCTCGAACTCCTCTTTCTCCATTTGCGCCATGGACATTTCCCAGAAAGGGCTTTTTTCATTGATCTCATGAGAGATGATAAGTGGTGACACCAGGAACAGTCGGTCATCCCCGGTGTCAAAGCCGATGTTTATGTCAGTCTGGTTGAGTGGGATGAACTCCCCCTCTTTGGTCTGCTGTGAGCGAATGAGCTTTGCTCTAATTGATGCCTCCACAATGTGAGAGTTCCTCAAGTCTCCCACTCGAAACATCAGGCACATCTTGCTGTCCCGCACCGATATAACAGCATTGTTCGAGAACATAAGGGTCTCGGCACGGTTCTTTGGCTGTGAAATCTTGACAAACATGCATCCCACCATTATTGCGTTAACAATGGATCCCAAGATTGCTTGTACCAAAAGTAGGACAATGCCTTCAGGGCATCTTTCTGTAATTACTCGATAGCCATACCCAATGGTTGTCTCTGTCTCAATTGAGAAGAGGAAAGCTGAGACAAAACTGTTGAGGTTCTCTACACAAGGGGTCCAGTCCTCCTCATCCCCATGCACCAGATCTCCACGGATAAGTGCAATCAACCACCATAGGAACCCAAAGAAAAGCCAGTTGACAACATAAACCAAGGTGAAAATTAATAGACTGAAACGCCAACGTAGATCCACCAGAGTTGTAAATAAGTCACTGAGGTAACGGTAGGTCTCTTGTACATTTCCATGGTGAACATTGCACTTGCCATCCTTTTGCACATATCGCTGACGTGGCTTCTTTACTGGTTCTGAAATCAAGTGGGTTCGCTCAGTTGAGATCTGAGGCTCCCGCAGATGTTTTGGGAGTTTCTTCGCCTGCGATGGAAAACAAACAGAAAACAAGGAAAGGGTGAAAAAAAATAAACACAAGTAACTTTAAAGGAGATCTTTCTCTGCACTTGTTCCTTTAACTTTTGTTATAAAAATGAAAAATTTAAGCAAACTAATATATTAGCAACTTCAAAAAAGTGATATGGAGATAAATGTTAGAATCCCTAGAGAACCACGATCAGGTGGTAGTGGCTACTTTTTCAACTATCTAAGAATCTGCATGGGTTGCAAATCAAATTAAACCTGCTGTAGTGTCCAATTTTGTAAATTTTTGTTTATTAATGTATTTTTTCTTATGACCAGGCTAACTGCTATTAACAAAGCTAAGAATGTAAACTTTTCAAACTTTGTTGTAAAACATACAGATATAAATCTTGAAAAGTTCAAAAAGGCCATTTTTATGCCTGCCATCACTAAGATTTGTACACAAAGAAGCCATACCAGGTTTTGAGGTCAACATTTTCCTACCTGCAATGATGACCTTTGGTACCATTTTGTGAACTTTTTAATACCAAACTACAAAATATGATCTTTTGAACACAACTGAATTTGATCCATATAAAATAAAAAACATCCTCACACTTTCATTATTTTTATTGCTTTTTTAGTGTTTTTTGTGATACAACACAAATATATACCATACTATACACTAGACATAGAAAAGAACACATCTTAAAATCTAGTCAAGATGGTGGAACTATTTAAAACTGGTTGTTCTATTAAAAAGTTGTAGAAGTATTTCCAGACTTACACGTGTTAACCTGTTATGTATGATTTGCATTTGGACTCTAGGAAAATCAAACAGACTGAATACAATCAAGAGCAAAATTATGAAGGTGCCTCCCTGTTTTGGCTGTCAATGACATTGCAGGTGCAAGCCCATGTATGCATATAACCAGACCCAAACAGAAACAGAGACTAAGGACAGAAGAGCACAAGGAAACCAAGGTCTTTGTCTGTGCTGGCCCTGCTCTAGCTAGGCAGCCTGGCTCCACAGCTGTGTCCTTGCTCCCTCTACATCCCTTGTGTTCCCTCCTTTAGCACGCTAAGAGACACTAGCATGAACAGATTTTCCATCCTTTCCTAAAAGACCCTTATGTTATCAATACAACAGACTGCTTTTATGAGCACCCATGCATTAATGCTGAGTTCAATGTCATTTTCCACGAGGGTAATTGAAAATAGCACAAAAGCTTCACAATCTGGTGTATTTAAACAAAAACTGACCTTTTTTGCTTTCCAGTCACACAGGGTGGATAGCATTAAAATAAAAACATGTTTTTAATTTTAATGCTACCAAGACGCAAGTCAAATCAATGAAGAGGTGGAATTTCCAGCAATCTCACTACAGATGGCTGGTAGTTCAACACCTGTAGTCTAAAGTCTTCCAACTATATGCTCATATCATCAGGAGACTTCCATGCTGGCTCTTTCTGTCCTGATTGTTCCACTCCCAGGTTAGATGCAAAGAAATAAATCAAAGGCTCTATACTGTAGTGTCCTTGCAGTGCCTTTGATTGCAGATCCTAGAATTAAAGTCTGTCAGAAAGGTTAGATTTTCTTCATATTGATTAGAAGTGATCCTCGTTTCAATGAAAAATTGATGATAGTTCTTATTGACCTACAGTAATTTGAACTGTTAATTAAAAGTACTACGGGGACACTGGAAACTGGACACTAAGGAACATATCTCACACTTTTTATAGGGTCTCTCAGGTAAAGTCAGTGTGCCCTGCACAAATGTTAAAAGACATGTTTGATTATTTTTGTATCAATTTGGAAGCCTTAATAGGCCCTATTAATTACTGCAAAAGTATCACCCCTAAGTTTTTTTTAACCTGCACATCTTAATCTGTAAGTAAGTTAAATAAGACACTTCAGAGTGACTTATATCCTGTTGCAATCCACTTACTGTAATGAATTCTATATTCTTGTAAGAGTATATCAGATCTAAATTTGATTGATGCTGTATAAAATGCTATGTGAGGCAAAATGGTGTTTTGATATTTGCTTTCTTTCCCGGTGTAACATATTATGCCGGGATAATTATTATATATTGTCTTTGTCAGGGGGAAAAAATATTTTTGGTCTGGCGTATGGCTCCTCCTTTTATTCATCTGTAGATTTGCCTTTCCTCAAACATTGTATATGGATGAATGGATGAAGCTATTCCAAGCCTACATCTTCGTTTTCCTCTACTTCCTCATGCCCCCCATTTTTCTGTTGCCTTTTCTTTTATGTTTCTCGCCATCTCGCAATATTATCTGCCTTGTCATTGCTTAGCAGTTGAGCCTCTGTGTCTGCAGAGTTTGTAGAGAAAAAAAATGCACAAAAGTTACTCTCAGCAGAAATGCTTGAAAAACCTCAGTTTAGGCAACTGGATGTGAAGTTTTCTAGAAGACGTTTCGCCTCTCATCCAAGACTCTTCTTCAGTTGTAACTACTTATTGAGAGCACCAAGATTAATATATTGTAGGTCTAAGCAAGAAAAATGTGTTTTTCTGCCCAGTGTCATTTGAACTAATAGCGCTGAAAGGCAATCTGTGCTTTAGATGTTTGAAATTAAAGGTAATCTGTAAAAGTTTAATTTTATGTATTTTTTTAAGTTTCTGGCATAGTTGAGACTCATATCCTACATGGAGTGATAATATATATGCAAAAATGACTGCTGTGATATCAATGTCTATTATTACCACTAAATTTGTATCATCAGAAATCAGTATGACAATTCCATTTACACTACATCCCCTCTTACACTGCAAAATTAAAATCTTATCAAATAAATTTTTCTTCCAGTATGTGCTTTTCTTCTTGAATTGAGCAGGTAAGTGAAGCAATTTGTCAATGGAATTAGAACATTTTCATTTAAGATAAGAAAAAAAACTACAGTCTCTTATTTCAAGTGCAGATCATCTTAATTACTTGCTCAAATCAAGGGTAATTATACTTACTTAAGAAAATGTACTGGTTTTTAGATCGTTTTGTGCAGTGTACCCTTTTCACTTTGTAATGCAAGATACCTTGTATATCTTCTCTTCTTTTACCTTTAATCCTGAGCTGTTTTTAATACAGTGTAACAGTAGCATTTTGTCATACTGCATTCCTATGACATCAAAAATGGGATATTCTCCCCCATAAATATCTGACACAGTTTTGCTTTTTGTTTATAAGGCCTGAAGCTGGTGTAGAAAGCCTTTCTTTAGAGACGACACTGCCCGTGAAAACAACTCTCTTCATTTTATTGTGTATGGTTGGTCTAATTGAGTCATAGAAGTAGCTGTCTCAAGCACTACTGCCTTTTCTAGTCAATACCTAGGGGTAGTGGTCCATGCACAAATTAATTAGCAGACTCAGTGTGGCAGCAGTAAGTGGAAGGTTTTTTATTCTGTTTCTTTTCCTTGTTTAGCCCTTTTGGTCAGGCTTGAGTGGGAGCCAAAAGTTCCCGTCAGCTGGGGAATGAGTGCAGATAACAAGCAGGACTCCACCATCTGTTATAGGCAAGCATTGGATAGCTTTTATTTTGCATCCTCAGGGCTAAGAAAACCAAGTCTTGCATTGATCTCCATATTGAGGAAACCTAATTGTATTGTGTCAGTAAGCACTTCTTAAAAATACAGACAGATCGTTACAGCACACCTGTTGCTGATTTAAAAGGTCTTTAACTTTGTCCATTGCAAGCTTCTCTAAAGCCCCCAGTCTGTTGCTTTTTACTTCTGTATCCTTATTTAATGCAGTTTAGCAAAGTGTGTATCCTTCAGCAGAAAGAGTTGTGTTTTCAGTTTACCTGTGCAGGCGTTACCCCTATCTCCATGTTGTGGTCCATGAGGACTCGAGAATCTCCTGCCATCCTCAGCTGAGGCTCACCTGTGAAATATAAAGCAGGTACATTAGTTTAATTGTAAAACAATTATATTTTGTTATTATATTTTGTAAGATTTCAATTACAGGAACATTATTTGATTGTCTTTATTTATTTGCTATTAACCCTTAAAAACAATTGAGAAAAGAAAGGAAAATTCTTAAATGAAGTCTTATTGATCCAAGCTTTAGTATTGTGATAAAGACCATTTCATGAGCAATTCTAAAGTTTGGCTTTTAATGGACAGAGGTTGATAGAGTACCTAAATTGTATGAGTAACAGCAGCACTGCATCATCATATTTCTACTCAGGTAAAAGTAGTAATTCAAAAAATTATTCATATAATAGTCAAAATATACTTGGTGAAAAGGAATGGAATACTAAGTAACTGATCTTCTTACTACTTCTGCTTACATTCATAACAGCTGATTTAATATTAAAAAAATGTGTTAAACATACATTTATGAGCAAATTATGGTATTTCAGATAATGAAAGGGAAAAAAATATATATATAACATACAGAAATTGCAAAATACTAATTTCAGTTTTTTGTTTTTGCACTTGACTTCTGAATGAAAATAGCATGTAGCGAACGCAGTTACACAAGCATTTTTCTGTGTGAATTTATTTCTTGTTTTTGTGAATATGTTTTACTTTTAATATCCAGTTCATATTTTTGTGTTTTTTGATTAATATGTACATACTTTGGGAAATATTGTAATAATGTCAGATGGAGACGTCACTGGTTAGGTTATCACTTGATCACGTGATGCCTTGGATGGAAAATTCTGAGTTTTGTTTTATGCTCGGTCGGCGTGTGCAAGAGTAAAGGCAAAGAACTGAAATATAGAAGAAATGGACGTGTAAGGACTTCTAGCAACTCCTAACCTTCTGGTTGGAGGGGCATACGGTATGGACAATTGAGAGAATTTATATTTTGTTGAATAAGTTTCAGTTGATAATTCATATAAGGGAATATGACGGTTTCACTGATGAATATTTTCCACCGTGTATTTTGCAGTGTTCACGGTGGTCTTGGGCGTTTGTATGACGGAAAATCCTGTAATAAATGTTTGGAACCATCAGTTGGATAATTGCACTTTCATCAACCAGTTAGAAAAAGTTGGGAGCAGCTATATAGCATCAGACTGCACAGTAATAAAGCTAGAGAACAAAAAAGAAAACAAAGTTTCACATGAACATAACATTCAGGTGTGTGTCTCCTTGGTCCATCATTGTTTAATATACGTTTGTTTTTAATTTACTAAATGATTCAGTGTTTAGAGTAGTCAATGTAACTAGTTACTACCCACCTCTACTTAGAGTATTTTTAGTTATTCAAAGATAGTTTTAACACTTGTGTTTTAAACCAATGTTTTTCTGGGGTAGATGCTACACTTACTGTAGTGAGAGTACTTAAGCCAAAAACTGAAACCTAATTTGTGGTTTGAGAGAAGCAGCTTCAAGGAGACATCAAGCGCGTCAATATTACTGTATATTAGTCCAACCAATCAAGGCATTATATTCAATAGGAATTTTCTGAGTACTCAGATGCAACTGGCATTCATCTCAATTCAGACAAAAATGGCAGCTCCACGTTAAGTGAGAAAAGTAAAAGAAAAAAAAAAAAGACTTTGCAGAATATCACTGCAGTTCTGCTTTTGACCAGAGGTGGCAGTATCATTTGATCTTGCCTCTAACTAATTTGTAACCATATCAGACCTCAGTAAATCTCTTCAGTAGAATAAAATATGACAGAAACACAAATTGTGCAATATACTACTTTTAATATCAGCGGATATAGTTATTCAACTTTAATCAATATATAAAATTATTTTTTGTACCTCCTAACCTGCACCATCTAGTGTTAGTTATATTCAGTATTCACTGTTTGAACAAAGCCTTTTATCAGTGAGTCAATTAGGTTTAGCAATTATAATGATAATATGTTTAAAGTATAAATTCTTGTAAACAGATTCAGTTATTAAAGGACTTTTAACTTAATCTGATGATATATGTAAGGTTTCCAAAACAGCTTCTTCCCCACTGACATTCGACTGCTGAATGTTGAATAAAAAAAAAAAAAGAAAAATGAAATATCGCTGAATTTTGGAAAACTTTAAATCATATCTGTTGTTTATATTTCAATCACCGTGTTTAAATTTTATCACTGCTGTCTTGAGAGCTGTACTGTACGAAATTTATTTTGTATACACCCCGTGTGCACAAAATGACAAAAAGTTTTTCTAAGTCCAATTCTAACCTTTACATTTACCTATATATATTCTCTCTCTCTCTCTCTCTCTCTCTCTCTCTCTCTCTCTCTCTCTCTCTCTCTCTCTCTCTCTCTCTCTCTCTCTCTCTCTCTCTCTCTCTCTCTCTCTCCATATATATATATATATATATATATATATATATATATATATATATATATATGCATAATTTTATGGCGTCATCTAATTTGTAACTGCATCTTGGCATTCATTAGTATTGTTGCCCGGCAGCAACACTTTTCAGCTTTCCTTGGGCAGTTCTTTGTGGCTTTTGCATGTTCTTTCTGTGCATGGACAGAGTCTCTCCAGTTTCCTCTCACAATTCAAAGTCACTCTGGTTAGGTTAAATAATACAATATATGTACGGTATTAGGAAAAAATATACTTCAAATAAAAACAAAAGTACCAAATACGTGTCTTTAACCCACTAACCATTGAGGGATGAAACTAGTACAGCCCTCTAAGGGCTAGGAATCACTAGACAATGGATTGATGGATTACTTATTTTACCCAAAATATTACTTGTTTAAATACATGCAGGTTATAGGTCAGTCTTTGGACCCAAATCTTGGTTGCTGTATCATGACACTACACACATTTACAAATATTTTCATTAAAAAACATATATTTATATATCCATAAACAGAGTTTTTAGAATAATTTGAGTAAACAGAGATTCAAGTGCTTGACATTTTTTCTGCAGGTCTACTGAAATCTACAATAACAGCTTTTTTTTATCCTTTTTTATTTGATTTATAACTATACTTGCTTACATACCCATTCTTGCCCAAACTCTATAAACAACTTAGAAACAAAAATGTTTCCACATCAGAGACTCTGTCTAAAATAATAACACTGACAGTTCCCCTTTCAAATGTTTGGCTAATTGGGCCTTTTTTGTATTACTGTCAGCAATCTTCCTCTGTCACACTTAAAATAAACAGAAACCTCTGGAAAAACTGCAATAACTATCCCCTATTAATCATGTAAAATAGAAAAAACTAGATGTCTGAATAGTATGTAAAGTATAAAGAGGGAATTTAGCTTTAGATTTTAGAACGGAATCAATGATGTCATTCAAACAGTTGTTTAACCCTAACCATAAAGTGGTGTGTAATTACTGTATATTTAGTGGGCAATCAGTCATCCATGTTTAACAGAATGTGGAGTAAAGATACCAGAGCATCTAAAAGATATTATTATAAAACAGGTGTTTCGAAATCATTTTGGCCTCTTATACCAGAAAGACTCAATAAATCATAATGATTTTGAAAGCCATCTTTATCATGATCCCAGCCCCAGTAGCTTATCTGATTTCTCACGTCATTCACCTGCCCTTCTCTCCCCGCTCTGTAATTATCATTTATCTTATTCACCTGCTCCCTCTGCTATATATATTGTTCAGCCAGGGCCAGATTTTTATTCTTTGTTTATTCCTGTATTCTTAGTTTATTCATGTTATGTTTTCGTATCAGTTATTCATGTTAGTTACATGAGAGTTAAGTTCCTGGTTAATGTCTGCGGATTCTGGTCCTTCTCCACAGAGCCCTCAGGGTTTTGGTTCGGAGTGCGGGGGATGTCAGTTTTAATTCCCGTGATCCTGGCTCTTAAGAGAGTCTAGTTCTGCAGTTATCCTGCTACCATGTATTGTCTCTGTTCCTCTAAACCACTGGGCCTGCCTGTCTCCATCTGAGTGTGTCTGACTAAACTCGCTGCTGGACTCATAGAACTCTGAACATGCCTTCACCCTCGAGGATTCCTGGAACCCTGGATCTGTCCGTTCCTGTTCGGATTGGAACCCCTGGTCGGGCTACGGACTCCTGGATCTCGGAACTGTCCGGTTCTGAACCGTTTCTCTGACCTACCTGCTCACTGGGGTTGCTGCATCAGGGCCACTCTGAACGATGCATCTCGTTTGGCAGTCCATCGGCTTGATCTTGCCTATCTCGGAGAGGATGGATTGAACTAATAAACCAGGTAAGTGACTCACTCAGATAATCATCTCCTGTCAGATGATCATGGTCACTTACCTGTGTCACTCCGTCCAGAGTGTCAGGGTTTGGTTGAGGTTTGTGGACCCAGAGTTTTTGTAGATTTAATGAAATGTTTACAAACAACTGAGGCAGGAATCCAAAAATCCAAAAAGAAAAATGTAAAACAAACCAGAACCATGGAGACATTAGGGGAAAACAATCAGGAGGAGCTAGGGTAAGACGAGCTAAGATGAAGTAAGACGAGGAACCAGCACTGAGGAACTGCACAAGGAGAGTATTTATGGGAGACTGAACAAAGAGAGGACTAACGAGCTCATTGGGAGCAGGTGTGAAGAGAGGAGTCCAGAAAGGAGCTAGAGGAAAGGAGACCAACCCAAGAGGGAAACAGACGGCAACAAATAAAAACCTAAGAACTTAAATATATCCAGAAAACACAAAAAATAGGAAAAAAAAAAAAAGAAAACATGGAGCAAAGTAAACCTGAATACTCAAAAGAAAACATAAGAGAACCAAGACTGTGACACAGAGTGTCAGTGATGGGCGGTTCCCCGCCCCCCCTCCTGCAGCCGCTTTGGTCCGCTTTTCCTCAGCACCCTGCGTTTCTGGTCTGTTCTGTTTTATCATTTCTGTCATTAAACGATTTGAAACATCCCATTGTCTGACTCGCCTTGAATACTGCGTCCATCTGTCTCGTTTATGACAATCTTACAACCCCCCCATTTTATTTCTCGCAAACC